CGGCCGCCAAGGGAAACTTTTCCGAGCTTTTGGGTTGATAGCTACATAAATTATTTCGTCCGAGCCCAGGACGTAAAAGGCAAAGCTGCCATCCGAAGTGGACGATATGTAAAACGTAACTCTTCGCCTGTAAATTGGATCGCAAATTAAAGCTAACAATTAACTCACGCGTTAAATAATGGAGGGTCAAGTTGTTTCGGGCTCGGATCCAGAAGATCGATTTGTAGTAGCTTATTGGGCGCGGCAAGCTGGAAAAGGATTTGGATTTTTTGGTAATTTACTAACGTACCGTGAGCTTCGTCCCGTCGACGACGAAAGCGGCGTTGAGCGGAAATTCGCGTGATTTGTAGGAGTCCCGCGTGAATTGCTTGATTTTATTGCAGGGTATTGCATGGTCGCCGCTGAAAAATTGTGGATCCGAAACTTGTCCAATCCTTTGCAAAATGCTCTTCTAGCTTCTGCGCATACAAGAGCAAAAATATACCTCTCAAGGTTCGCAAAAATCGTTTCCAGCTTATCAAGTACTGTATATTTAAGGCAGCGCGATATTATGACAAGCTTAGGCTCTAAAATTTAATAAAACGGAACTTGATACTGTTGTCCTACCAGCTTTCGTTCCCCCATTGGATTATCTGCGTAATCTCCTGGGAGTCATCGAAAATTTTAACCAGCTTTTGCCGCGAAACATTAGGCGGCAAGTTGTGGTCGTCCTCGGGTTTGTGGAATTCAATGAAGTGGCCGATCCCTTGAAGGACTTCAAATTTTCAGAAAAACCTACCAGATACGATATAGACGGCTCCGTTACTAAGCGCCAGGGGGCAAACGGCGGTCCTCGGCAACAGGCAGGGCGGGAATTTTTGAGAAGCCATGGATCTGAAATTTCTAGTTAGGGTAAGTAAGTTCATTCAACCAATAGTTCGCATATTTCAAAGCTAGGGTCAAAAAAAATTAAGCTGCTAGAGAATAATTGGTAGCTAACATTTTTTTCATGAGACTAAAAATATAAAAATTATGTCACGCCAGCGTTTTCGAATAGCTAGCATAAAAATCGAATCTTTAGGAGCTGAACGCTTCACACTAAAGCTATAAAATTTGAAAAATAAACAATGAATATTCAGTCTAAGTGAAAATGAGTTTGCAGAACTTTCGCTTGGAAATATTTAAAGAACTATTTAATTAAAAAACTCAAAAATAAGAAAATTTGGAAGAAGCGTTCAAAGCACGGGTCGCGTATTTTGCGAGGGCCACGATTACGCGATCTAAACATCGACATAGACGATGGAAAAAGGGCTGGTCGGACTGCCCGGGGCGAGGCAAGGCCACAGCTGGCGAAAGGATTGGCAACGGGGGGAATACCGCGGAATGTAAAAGTCGCGGAACGTCCAAATGACTGTGAAAGTGGTTTCGAAAAGTCAAGGAACGATGTAGTGGATCCTGAAAACGAGAAATCTGCAAAACTATTGTAATTATTTTAGCTTCGAAATGCGCCGGCTGTAGGCCATCTGTCGGTATAGTTTTTGTTTAGATTTGAAAAAGCAATTTTCACAAGTTTTTTATTTTTATAGCCCTCGATTGGTCAGTCTCCCGGCCTCTGGCGCATTCCTCTCTCTCGCTCTCCCTCGCCCTCTCTCGCTCTCTCACTCTCTCTCTCTCTCTCTCTCTCTCTCTCTCTTTCTCTCTCTCTCTCTCTCCTTCACGACGCCGCGTGACTGAAAACACGCCTCCGAAAGCTTCCTGATTTTTTGAACATCTCAAATACCTTTGATGCTCTCCGGGGAATGGCGTAATTATTGCTTCAAACTTGCCGAACGCACCCTGATCCCCTAAAAAGCGTCTACGAAAATTTGGATTACAGGACACGTAATTCGCAGTTTGTCCAGCAAGTACACGAACCTTAATTGAAGGGTTGTTATGCACGATTTTTTTCTCTTGAAACGGTTCGGTCTGTTCGCGGTCATTACTCATATTTCGGATAGTTGCGAGGTCTAATGCTATCCTTTTTTCTGATCTACTTATCTTACGGTATTCTATCGCTATTATTACTGGTGCTCTTAATTATTTGTATAATCCGAAACCGGACGGTTCTGTACAGCTCTTTTTACAAAGTTTATTTGCTAGTGCTAGTTGTGGTGAGGTTACGGCGCAGATTTTAAAGAATTTTATAAGCTATTTTTTTTTGTTTAGTACCTAGCCGCCTACCTGAACACTTATATAACCATCAAATTCCGTGAATTCGACTTCATGGCCGATATATACCCGGGAATTGAGCGGCGATTCGTCCCATTTCGATATTGCTACCTCTGGCAAACCGCGTCGTTCCATTGCCAAAATCTGACCGTGATTTTGCTGCATTTGAATAGATTCACCATTGTGTGGATGCCGGTGTACCATAAGCAGGTAAAAAGCAAAAGGTATAATCTTGAAATGCGATAGAGCGTCGAAAAATATGCAAAAAAATCAATTTCACCGCAAAAAAATGTAAGAGAAGTTTTTTATTGATAAAGAAAAATTGATCATAATCCATGGGCAGCACATAGCATCCCCTGAGGAAGCCAAATCTTCAAGATTTTTGATATTTTCAAAATTCAACAAAAGATTAAAAAACGAATCAAAAGAACCTCACGAAAATATACCAAGAGAATGGGTTTCGGGACCAAAAAATGTAATATAAAAGTTTTATACCGTAAACCTTTGTTCGGCACCGTGAATATTTTCGATATTTTGAAAAATCCATTTGAATACGTTATACTAAAAGCATTTTTCTAGGCCAAAAACCATAATTAAAAATTTTCTTATATGAAGAACTTTGAGTGCCGGCAGGTTATTTTATACCGATTATGCGGTGCAGTTACGATATTTTATCCTATATTACCGAAAAAACATCGTTGAGTATTTTCAGATCTGGTCAACCAAGAAAATCCTGGTCGCCGCCGTTCTCATCTTCTTTTTTGGTCACGCATTCTGCTATCAGATCCTTTTCGTATCCAATATTTTTGTGAAAGTGGGTAGTTATGCCACCGTCGATCCGGATACCTATTCTGTATGTTTACCTCACTTTTTCGCGAATCCGAGAACACAGTAATTGGACAGCCAAGATTTTGAAACCCATATATCATTAAAACAAGAAAAAAAATCGGTGCTAATGCACTTGGGGGGGGGGTAGTCCGAAATTGGTAGTAAGGGGTTACGAGACGCTCCGCTTAAGCTACTTGGGTTTCGGCCTGAGCTTAGCTTGGCTCAAGCTAAGCTCAGGCTTTGTTTGTATGAAGCTAAGCGTAGGCTTAGGCTTGGCTTAGTTTTTCCAGAGGCCTCGAGTTTAAAAACGGCATTTGGGGCGTCTTGTAGTCAAAATCCGGACTGCCCCCCCCAAGTGCATTAGCACCAAAAAATCATATGAAGGCTGTGATTTAGCAAGTCGCCATCAGCACTTATATAATCCGACTGACCAGCCAGATCTATCCGCTTTTATCATTGACTATATGTGCCGGGACTCTTGTAAAAGTTGTGTATTTACGACACCGTCAAACTAGGTGCGCTTCCAAGTAAAGGCGGTAACCAATAGCTATATCTCTAGCAGCTCATTCTACCAAAACGTCAAAATGCATTTGATTTTGGTTTGCTTTGGAACGCTGGCTCCACAGATAGGATCGATGTTATTTCTGGTAGGGTTCTTAGGTTCAGTTAATCCGTTTTTTAGCTTTATCGCAGCAAATTGATACTCGATGCCGAAATGCAGACATTTTTGGTAGGTCAGGGATGGGAAATGGCTGGAAAAAAGCACAATAGACTGCCTGTCAACTCCAGATCAAGTTGGTTCTTGTTCGTTAGCGGAGGGGGGCGGAATTATCGTGGGGGGGCGTGGCAGAGTTTCAGTCTTATTTTTGGGGGACTGCATCATCGCAACCCAGTAGAGCAACAAAAAATATGCTTAGAACTTTATTTCAGGTCAAAGACCATAATTTAAGAAAGTTATAACAAAGACAAAAATAACCCTAAAAATCGGGTTGGTCGCGATTTTCCGGGAATTTGGATCATTTTCGACATTTTGTTAACGCTATTTGCTAGAGCATCCAAAAATTAGCGAGGAGGTTTATACACGGCTTAAATAATGTAATTTGAGATAAGAGAAGCTATTGACAAAAAACGTTCCCCCCGATAGTTCCGCCCCCACGAAACGAACCAGAACCATCAAGGCTACTTTTAGCTAAATGTCTGTTCGGATGTCTCTACGCTAAGTGAGGCTTGGATCGGCATCGTACTTAATGGAGTGTTGCGGAAACAATTGTTTAAAATGTTTAAAAATAGCAACCCTAGCGAAGTGCAGTTACCGGCTATCCATCCAAAATCTGGATCCGGAGGACGAAAGGTTGTCACTGCGAGATAACCCATGACAAGATTAAAAGCAGCGGCATCGCCTATAAAACATCATTTTAAATGCAGAATTCTTTTTTCGAGGGTAAAATGATAAATATTATATAATTCTTTTATTGCACCAAAGAAAAACAAAACCAAAACGCCAGAAACAGAAAAACCAAAACAGCGTATAAGTTTGAGCAGCGATATACAGAGTGTCCCAAAAAATCACCCTTATAGACGGCCCATTTTCACGATTTGGGTATCCATTGTAAGATTTCAAAAAGGCGATCCCATCACGAAATTCCGATTTTCGAAATTTCCGAATTTGTGCTCAATTTTCAGCATTTTTCGTGCAAAAAAAGAAGCTTTTTGTGAAAAAACCGACTTAGGCGCTACTTCGAAAAAACTCTGAAAAAATAGTTGGGCAGCCAGAAAAGGCGTGAAAATTCTTAAATCGCGATTTTCGTAAAAACACCATCAAACCGTAACGTAACCATTCATTTCATACCTCTCAATCCCAAATAATTTAGCATAGCGCCACCGGAAGTTGCTCATGATTTGCATCAAAAATTTGGTAGAAAATGGGTCCCACTACAACAAAGCATCATACGAATTCGTCCTCGTCAACCTCGACGGTCGTCCGGATGCTCCGACGATCCATGCTCGTCTGTGCTCTGCTACTCCTCGCCGTGCATCTTCCCGCTGCTCATGCTCAAGAGGTCGTTTATCCGAATACACCTAAGCCAACGATTTTTTTCGAATATTTCGGCGGTTTTGCACTTAGCGAGATGCAACTTTTGGGTTCTGAACGGTCACTTGATATCCGGTTCAAAAACGAATCATATCCGTTCGTGGAAATTCCGATTTCTGACAAATGGCGGTTTCCAAACTGTGAAAAAATTTAAAGGCAGTCTAAAAAAGTGCCTTGGAAAAATCGCTAAATTGTTTCTTTGGAAAGTCGCAAAAATTGTTTTCTTCTATTAATTGCCTTGAAACAAACTATTATCATTGCATTTTTAGGGTGGAAAAGCTGAATGCCCGAAAGATCCGGGTCGACCCCTCGCCTGCTTCGTCGTCAGGGATGCTGCGCAACGATCGGCTGCCGATGTAGGTGTCACGTATCTCTCCTACTCTCTCCCGCTCGCCCTCTTTCTCTCTCTCTCTCTCTCTCTCTCTCTCTCTCTCTCTAGCTCCCTCTGTTTCAGAATGCTCTCTGCCACTGCCCCGTGACCCCCGGCACGCTCTGCGACAACCATTCGCCTATCATGGTAATGATAGCTCACTCGGTGGTATCGAATTCTTCTCGGTTTTAGGTCCGAAACAAGACACTGTGGCTGAACTGCGAATTCGACCGGTTCATCGAGAAAGAAGGCGGATGTTCGACAAAGGATCAGCCGAAGGAAGGGCCGAAGCCGATCTGTCTGGGCGGATGGGAACACGCCGCCGTTCCGCCCGATCCCACCACTACTACATCGGTTGGGCTTGGTCGTAACCTTAAGATTTGGATTCTAGACGACCACTACTACCACAACGACCACGACCACCACCACCACCACTACAACGACGACCACAACAACAACGACGACTACCACAACTACAACGACGACTACCACTACGACAACGACAACGACCACACCACCACTACGACCGACAACTACCGCCACTACGACAGCTACAGCTACGACCACAGCAGCTACAGCGACAACCACCTCGACGGTCCCGCGGGCCGCGCTTTTGCCGTTTTCGTTCTCAAACGGATGCGAACTGTGGTGGTGGTCGTGGTCGAGACCTCAAGTCCAGAATTCTTCCCCGACTTAGCGTAAGCATAGCTCCAATTAAAATATTTGCCTTGCTCCCCAGTTAACACGAAGCACCATCTCCCTCCGGGATTCAGAATAAATGACCGCGGAAGCGCCACTCAACCCTGGTTCATAAAAGTATTTTGAGAGAGACCCCTCCCCCGTTATCCTATGTGTACCGTTTATTCACCGACTGCCCCAAATATTGATTTTCAGTGCACGCCAACCGCTAATAATACCGACATGTGCGTCAACTGCAACTTGCGTTGGGCTGCTCTTAATCACGCGAACCTGCGGACGGGTCGCTGTCCAAAATGCGCAGGGATCGTCGTCGAGGATTGCCCAGTAAGCTATTCTAATCGCCAAGGCTCTTAGAGCTGCTCGATCCGGCATAGCCGGTTTTATGCCGGTTGCGCCAGTGTTGTTTTGACATGTTTTTGAAGTGCAAAAAAATCGATCTATACGATACAGCGGCGGTCCGAAAGTACGTTCACCGAAACTTTTTGGATTTTCTAAAAAAACTATAGAAGCACAAAGCGCATGCCAACATATTATATTCCTGAAACAATTTCCGGTTCTGTTCTATTTCTCGCGCGGGGCAGCAACTGTGCGGGAAAGTATGCCTCAGCGGACCTGTCCCTACCTATCTTTTCGCTATTTTCTCGGAATTTTTGCAACGCGATTCGATAGATCATCAAAAAAACAAACTAAGAGTTTTTGTTTAGAAAACCTAGAGGAAATGATCTATCGACTTAAAATGCCCATACCCTTAATGGAATGGAGAAATTTTGTGTGCAAACTCCGGTCAACGTGCTTTCGGAGGGCCACCTTCTTGTTATCCTTAGCGTCCAGCGTCGTGAGTGAGCCAAATAGCGCAGGGGGTAAGTCCGACCAATTTTGCTAGTTTTAGATAGATCCGATTTTCAGTGTGAGGAGCCGGATCCGTACTGCATGAACTGTGCTAGTCCCGAATGGCAAGATCGTCAGGACTGCACGGTGCAGGAGGCTGAAATAGCGCTCCATCCCTCCTGTCAGATCCAGTGCATCGTTAACACGGTAATCTACTGCGGCCTTTTCCGGTTATTGTGGCGCAAATGATGTTCTCCAATTGACGGTGTCTTGCGTTTTCCAGAAACTCAACCCCTATATGTCCAAGGATTCGCGCTGTCGGTATCATCATCTCTGGACCACCTATCCGCACCAGTCGCGGGTGATCCCGAATGGGTAAGGAAAGCTGTTTTGCGCAGGTGACTTGGGCAAGACTTCCAGGGTCCTCTAAGCACTAGACCTCCCGAACCCCATTTACCCCCATACTTGTGGGGGTTGGATGGAGGTCCTAGGGAGTCAGGCAGAGAGTAGGAGTGGGGGTTCGGCAGGAGTGTTGAATGGGGGGTTTTCAGGGGTGTTGAAAAAGAAGTTGAAAAAGGCTGAAATGATTTTAAACCTTAAAAACATTAACTTAAAATAGCCAGAATTTTGCCCAATGGGGGTCTTTGGGGGTTGGAATGGGGGGTTCGAGTGGGGGGTCCATTGGGGGTTGGCAGGGGTGTCTGTTGGGGGGTTTTGGGGGGTGTTGCGATGGGGGTCAAAATGGGGTCTTTGGGGGTAAATGAGGGGGTTTAGTCTAGGAAACCCCCCCCCCACAGCCGACTTGCCAACCGTTCTACCTTCCTTATTTTTATTTTTCGCTACTTTCTTCGACGCAAATGCAAAGTACTTTTACTAAATAGCCCACTGCGAACTTTTGGTATGCTTTAGAGCGCGCTAGCACAAGTGGGGGCGGGGGGGTTGGAGCCGGCTGGGGGTGTTCCTAGACTCTTACCTCGACCACGGCGAACATTTTGAGATGCTCCACGCATTAATAGGACGTAGGGCCGATAAGTTGTGGCTGGGAGGGGGTTTCCCAGAATCTTACCCTGCTTTCAGATGTGGATGGACGTCACAGGGCCTGCCTATATGCCAGAGAAGGTTCGTTTTCTGTGGAACACCAATTTTAGCCGAACAGCGTTACGCGAGACACTCTTGACGATTACTTTGCAGCGCGTTCATCGTGATGCCGATGCTGCTGGAGCGCCGATCAAGCGTATCCGACTTCGTCTGCGCACCAAGCGAGACGAAGATGCGAACGTGTTTATCTACTACCCGATCAACCCCGCCTACAACCCCAAGTGCAGCCGGGAAGACTTTGACAAATTGGTTTGTAGTCATCTTTCCTGCTAGAGCTTTGGTTTTAGACTGCGCAAGAACTGGCCTTGGCGTCGATGAAGCTCCGTTTTGGGTGTTACGAAGGGACTTGGTGCGACGAGCAGAATGCTTTTCCCAGGTATCATTAGATTCCACGTGCTGCGATCATTCACCATCCCTTTAAAGTGAAATCCTGGCCAACGACTCATTGGCCCGCATCTGCTACCCGCGCCCGCTGAAGACCTACATTCTCGGCCAGGGCAGGTACAAGCCGGTGAGTGTCGCTTTTTTTGACATATGGCAAGTCACAACCTAATCTCGAAAGCCAAAATCCCGACAGCCATAATCCCGACAGCCAAAATGTAATATTTCCGGTCGTTTAGCCATGAAGGTTTGTAAAATCTGAGGTTGCTGGCTGTCGGGATTATGACTGACGGTCGGGATTTTGGCTGTCGGGATTTTGGCGTTCTCCCATCCCCGAAATATCCTGCCTTTTTCAGTGGTGCACCGAACCTCACGCCAATCCGTTTGAGCCGAAGAATGTGGCGAGCTGGGGATGTATGATACTGCCATTCTGCAAGCTGGGCCAGCCGGGAGAATTTGATGAGTGAGTCTGCATGACAGTGCACCCATTATCGGTTCTTTCGCATTATCGGGGGGGGTCGAAGCCTTTTCTTAAGATCTAATTTTTGATCGAACGGACGTGTTTTTAAACTGTTTCTTACTATCCTCAATGTAAGACATCATAAAGCTGAATAAAAAATAACGAAATAAATGTTTCGACTAAAACAACTTTTTAAGGAATTTGGAAGTTTTTAGATGGTTTTTCTAGCTAAAATATAGTTTTATTTTCCTATAACATTATTAAAATACTCCCTATTAATTAGGCTACTTCACTTCACAACTTAGGCTTTGGCTCCGGCTTAGATTTAGGTTTCGGTTAGGCTGAGGCTTAGGCTTGTTTTCAGGCGTAAACTTTGGCTTAACTTTGGCTTTGTTTTGGGCTTAGGCATATTCCTACTAGGAATTTTTGACTTACACACAAGCTTTGCCCGCCCCCCCGTAATGGGCAAAAACCCCAATACTCCCTCCATTTTCAGACAAAAATACCTGCGACCGGTCAGCGACAACGGAGACCTGCTGAACTGCATGGATATTTGTCCAAGAAACGAAAATGGCCGTGGATTGACGGAGAAACCGGATTGTCGACCCATCCCTAGCAATCCGGAAAAAGACTATTTCGGTGTCCTCAGCATTACGGTAGATATCTCGCCTGATTCGTTAAAATACTCTTTACAGGAGAAGCTGGATTGGTGCGACGTGGAGAAGTCGCGTCGCCGAGACCCGTGGTCACTCAACCCACCGTGCAATCCGATCCCGCAATGTCGAGGAAATGTCGACGGGCGTGCTGTGGGTTTTCTGGGTGTCATCTATTAGGACATTATCATCTACTCGGAGACAATTGCCGTATTTCAGCCGGATACCAGGGATTGGCGCAAGAATCTGCTCTACTACAAGAATGATGTTGCCGGCATCCCATGCGTCGTCTACAAGCAGTGCAGTGCTTTGACGGAAGAGGAGCGGAAGGAGGTGAGAGACTTGCTATAGCTTAGCTTAAGCTCAGGCTGAAGATTAGGCATAGATGTAGACTTAGCTTATGCTTAGCTTAGGCTTAGCTTAGGCTTAGTTTAGGCTTAGCTTAGGCTTAGCTTAGGCTAATGTTTAGGCTTATTAGCCTTAGGCTTGGCTTAACCCTAGGCTTGGCCATAGGCTTGGCGTCGGCTTAAGCTCAGGCTTACGCTTGGGCTTACGCTCGTGCTTAGGCTTTCCGGCTTACACATAGGCAGAGATCTAAGCTTGGCTTAGGCTTGACTTCGGCTCCGGCTTGGGCATGGCTTAGGCTTAGCTTATACTTGGCTTAGACTTAGGTTAGGCTTAGCTTAGGCGTAGGCCTAGGGGCTTAGGCTTAGGGCTGCATATAGATAAACACGTCCTTCAGTTCCACTGCGTCGGCTCGGTCCAGACAACGAGCACGACAAAAGCCTCTACGACGACAACGGCAAAGACTACGGCAAAGACAACAACCGAGAAACCGAAAGACGGCCTGGGGGATGAGGTCATCTTGATTGCAGGTAGAATGGTTGGCCGTACTTGCTCAAATGACTTCTTCAGCCCTGGGTGGCGGTCTCTTGGTGTTCATCGTCGTGATCATCATCGTGCTGTGCTTCTGTCTGAAGAAGAAAGACCAGGGCCCGAAGGGAAGCAAGCCGATTGTCGATGACATGGTGGGCCGATAAGTCGTTTTGCTGTTGTCCCAAGAAAATACCCTGTCTTAGCTCCCTAAGCTTCCGTTTTTGCGATTTAGGTATCCATCGAAATTTGTCGAAAACGCCGGTCTTTTTCTCTCTCTCCGTCTCACCGATTTTCGAAATTCCGAAAAGTTTTGCTCGATTTTCGCCATTTTTTATGCGAAAGGACACGCTTTTTTGTCAAAAACTCCACCCCACCAAACAAAAATTTTTCGAAGTTACCTTTAAAAAGTAAAAAACGCAAAAAACGCTTAGCTATAAGCTTCGTACTGCTTTCCTGAGTGGTTGTGAGCGGTTTGAACTGCTAGAAATCGTTGTAATTGCTCAAAATCACAAATGATCATAAAATTAAAACAACCCTCCCCTGAGGTGATTGAAAAAATAGAACCCCCGGGGTTCTAGTAGTGGTAATACAGGATCTGTTTTTTAGATGAACGTCGGCGTTGGCACGGCGGTCGTCGACCTCGATGTGGTGCCGATCAGCAACGCCGAGGAGGGCCCATCGGAGGCTAGCACTGCAAGCACTGGCGGAAGGTGTAAGTGCTTTGCGATACTATCAGAAACGTCACCTATTTTTCAGAAGCATCCGACTACACGTGTCCACCTACTCGATCCAACGATCGGCATCGCCATCACTCGTCTACCACTGAAACTACTCAACGCAACACCATAAAAGCCCTTCTATAAGCCCCGCCCCTCCTCTATACCTCGCTGTTTTTTTGTAAATCTAAATTTGTCCATCATTCTGTTTGCCATCGCGTGTAGTATGTACCTCTGTCCCTTCGTAATAAATCGGGTGCCTGGGCTGTCCTGGAATGACACTACACGGATTGGCAAAGAGGAACACGAAGCAGAAAATGCTGCCAGGTTAGTACTTTGAGATAAGACCAAGCCTATCTGATGCAGCATTTTACGCGGATTCCGAGAATGTTTTCAAAATTGCTGAATAACGATAAATGGAAAATTAGAACGTATTTTGGTAAACTACATAGCAAATAGCAAAAGACCTTAGCAGATGTCTCATCAAAATTACCAGAAAAATATTTTGGAAGGGTTTGATAGCGGGTTTTACTCAGCAAAACACAAGTTTTCAAATAAGGCTAGCTTAAAGTTCATTAGCTTCAATGCGGAATGCTTTTATTGAGAGCAAAATAACAAATACAATGCTTTATCGAAAACGGTAACCAAGAAAAACAAAACAAATTATAGCAGGAAGCTCGAGGCGCTCCTCCTGCTTCATTGGTCTAAAACCGAGCACGCTATGCTATATGACTACATGGTCCGTACCATAGGCAATCCGTGGTCACTAAAACAAACGCTCTGAGTTGAGCTCGACATAAATACCATTAGAGCACAAGCTTCTTGGCTGAAAAATTCGAAAACCTACTCGAAAGCGTAATGATTTCCTTAAGGCCGAGGCGCTCATGCAAGGCGAATGTTCTTTTGTCAGAGTGGAAAGGTGCCTCGAATATCTGCAAGATGCGAGGAGCCTCGTCGTCGTCGTCATAAACATTATGGTACACGCAGTGACTGCAACAGTATTCAGCTGGACGTTGATAGGAAATGCGCGTTGACTGAAAAAGAATGACGAATAGCCGTGGCCCGTGCGGATCTGATTTTACCATCTCTGGCAGCTGATCCAGAGGGAAGTGGGCAGCCCTGGGAACGCAGGCAGATATTAAAGTGCGTTGTGACATCTTTAGCCTGCAAATAATTTGCTGGTGTTCTGAAAATGAGGCAACCTGGGCGTTCGCCTCGAGAAATACATTTCGGACGTCTCTCCAGTAAGCTTTCCCGAATGACGACCGGTCATCGTCAGATAAGCTCCAAAGTGCAGCGAACTGAATGTGTTGCGTGCGGCTAGCCTAATTGTAAGTCTAATCGTTACCTGTTGCCGCTTTTTAGTCACCGGATCTCGGCATTCCTGGATAATTTCCAGTGCCGCTCGTATCCCACAATCAAATTGGATCTGCAATGCGCTTGACACTTTGCCCAGTGACCCAAAGAAGTTAGTTGGTTGGATGTGAGGGGCCGGCATGGATAGTCTTTACCCCGAAGAGGCATTCCACGTGCTTCGGTAGCTCAATAGGGAGAGCATCGGACTCGAAAGCCGTAGGATGCGGGTTCGACCCCCGCCCGAAGCATTTGTTTTGCGGATCGGATTTTTGCCCCAGAATTCCCAACTAGTTACACCCCAACAGGTCATTTGGGACCCGACTACAGGTGTCGCAAAAAAATCCCCCCTCCCCTACCTAGCGGTCCGCAGTCGTGTCCGATTTTTACGATTTAGGGATCTATCGAAAGCTGTCTAAAACGACGACGAAACAACAGGGCTTTATTTTCTTTACCATGTGTTTTTATTTGCGAATTGCACCTCCAAAAACCATGAAAACGGCAGATTGACGCGAGAACTGTATGCTAATTGCGAAATACCTTTCGAATAACCGCCCGTTTTTTGGAAAAAACCTTACATATCGATGGTATGAGATTGGATCATAGAAAACGAAATGCGCTGGTTGTCTCGCCACCTCAAAGCTATCCTTAGCTAGCTACACCGTTAAAAATCACGTCTGCGGACCGCTGGGGGGAGGGGGGGGTGGGACACCCTGTATACTGAGAAGCGCAAATGTCGTGCGCGCAGATGGGGGACGTAGGTTTCGAGGTGAAAATGCGGGAGGGGGGGGGCACGAAAAACCGGATCTCTATCATTATACACCCTGTACATCGGAGAGCGGTTAGAACTCATTACCTGGGTTCTAGCATGTTTGTGATTGCCGGGTAAAGATATTTTGTTATCGAGCATGTTCTTGATGCTGAACTCTCCGTTTTCGAACGCGAAGATGATTACGCTGAAAACACTTTGTGTGTGAAAGCGATTGATGATGACTTGTGCAGCGAATGGGTGCGGCCATCATACAGTCAAAATGATAGAGCCACACTTTTTTGGAAAAAATTTTTGGGGGCCCCGAAATTTTTTTCTGGCTAGGCCCCTGTATGTAAGTGTGGCTCTATCGTTTTGACACTTCTGTATTTTAGCTTGATTTGTTCTTTTCCTTATACAAAACGCTTATATATTGTTGAAAAACTTCAAGTAGATGGAAAAATGCGCCTTGCGAG